GTGATAACATGGGCAGCATGGATGACACTAACATGAGTGGCATATACCCCTCAATACCATTCACACGAAGTCAAGCAAAGTATCTCCAAGGCCTACAAGCAATGTTCATGAAAAGGGAAGCATTAGAGGAGCTTGAAGGTCACCAAAGAAGGACATACAATGTTTGTAAGGTACATCAAAATGAGAAGGAAGAAGGAAAGAGGCCATGTGTGCAAATGGACATTTCATGAATTCAAGAATTCACAAAAGAAGGCAACCAAACAAGGCCCTTATCTCATTAAGAGTAAAATTGTTAAAAAGTGTCTTGTTTATTTTTTTAGTATAAATAGTAGTCTCTTTTATTTTGGAAAGACTTAGACTATATTGAATATTGACTCTCAAATTATAGTATCTTCTTAGTGAGTAATTAGTGAGTAATTAGGGTGAACTCTTGGGATTGCTTGTTAACTTCTTGTGTTTGATTAATCAAAGTGTTACCCTTTTGTGATTCTTGGTTTCATTTGATTATTCTTCCTTGGGTTGAATTTAGGTTGTTGAAGTCAATTGGGAGGTGAGGGTTTTAGTCCCTTGTTGTCCATAATTTCAATAACTTGAGTATTAATCCACATATCATTTCTTTCTTTATTCATTTCCTTTGTTGATCGTTATCATTTGGTATCAGAGCCTAGGTTTAAAAAAAAAAAAAAGTCCAAAAAAATTCATCAAAAAAAAAAAATCTGATTTTTTTTAAATTTTGATTTGCTGTTTTTGACACTAGATCCTTGTTTCCTAGTGTTTTTTGAGTCTATGTTTCAAATTTTGTTCAATTTAGAGTTGTAGAAGTGAAGTTACCATTGAAGGGTTTCAAGCTTTTCAAACTTTTCAAATTTTGAAAGTGGGTCTTTTGATTGAGGAGAAATTGGAGGTTAATAATTAGTGGGCTTTGTTCTCTTAGTTGAAGGGAAGAAAATCCTATATTTTGAGTCAATTTCGAGTTGATTTGAGTGTATGGGGGTTTAGTGTGTGTTCTTGGTGTCTTCAAGTTATTCTTGAAGAAGAAGAAAGAAGAAAGTACATTTGATCCAACTTTTCAAGTCAAAGTTGGTCAAAGGTGTTTTTTTGGGGGTCCATAAGTGGAATTTTGAAAAAAAAAATCAAAATCTGAAAAATAAAATAAAAATAAAATAAAAAAATCCACGTGGACTGACACGTCAGCAGCCAGCACAGCAGGCAACCTGCCAGCGACGCCCAGTCGTACCTGACGCGCGTGTGCATCAGTTTCAGAGGCCAAAACCTGCAGGTTTTTCTAAACACCCCAAAAATATTCTAAGTATGGAAGTTTTTTGGACCTAGAAATTTTTCTAAGTGTCCAAACTTCGTGATTCTCTTTCTACTATTTTTCCCTTCAATTCCTCAACTATTTAACAATTAATTAACATCTTTAATTACTTGTTACCTAGTTTTAATCATCAAATCATCCAATCAAAGTCTTACAAGTGATGGACTTCTTTGAGGCTTAAATTTTTTCTAAGTGTCCAAATTCACTTCTTCTTCTTCTAAACTCATTTTTCTTCTAATTTTCAACTATTTAACAATTAATTAACATCTTTAATTACTTGTTACCTAGTTTTAATCATCAAATCATCCAATCAAAGTCTTACAAGTGATGGACTTCTTTGAGGCTTAAATTTTTTCTAAGTGTCCAAATTCACTTCTTCTTCTTCTAAACTCATTTTTCTTCTAATTTTCAACTATTTAACAATTAATTAACATCTTTGATTACTTGTTAACTAGTTTTAGTTATCAAATCATCTCTTTGATCCTTCAAATTAAGTAACAACAAGTAATTCTTCTACTTTTGTTACTTGGTTTATTTGAGTC